TGGGGAAGTGAGGAGTTTGGAGTGGCGAAAGATGACCAAAAGTAGTCGAAAATATAGATCTTAAGATGGGCTTTAAAGGTGGGAAGTGAGGTTTGTGACGAATAACCACACACAAATTCTTTCCCCTCTCATCATTGTTAATATTAATGGACACTTCATTGTGTATATTTACTAACTCCTGTTCCAATATGCCTTGCAATATCTTATCTAGTTTAAAATTCATCTTCTAAGTCTTGGCTATCAATCTTCTCAAATGCTATTTATCTTCTTTATTATTGGTAACATGGCCACATAACAACAACAAAATACAACAACCAAATTACATTTGTATAGCGCCTTTCACGACGGGAGGACATCCCAAAGCGCTGGACAGTCAGGATTTGGACCCAAGCAGGGTGTTGGGGTAAGGCACTGTGGAGATCAGGGATGGTAGGGGTAGACAGTGGCCAAAAGCGCAGTTGAAGAGTAGGATCTTGAGACATGCCTTGAAGGAGGCAAGGGAGCATTTGGTGAATGTGAAATATTCCAACGATATACAGGTATATTTCACAAGAAATTACTTTGGTCCCACAAGGCTGATGTGCAGGCGTATGAACAAAATGTTTTGTGTGATTTTAATCTGATTCTGAAACAGCAGTAATAATAATCAACTTTTGCATCAATTTTGGTCAGCCAGGTGTCTGCCAATGCTGAAACCCATCACCATGCTTAAGAGTATCCAGACCAAATTGGAAGTTCCACATAGGTATAATACCTACAAATGTAAAGTTCTCTGTAACTGGAATGGAATACGAACTCTGCCCTAATCTGTGTATGATTACTTAGTTACCAAAATAAATGCCTCCTCTCTCCCCCACTTAATGAAACTTTCAAAATGTAGAATTATTTTAACTGCAATAGCTTTTTATCCCCCCAGTAATGTTGAGGCGAGTGCAAAGAACCATGGCCAGATTCCCAGGATAATAGAAAGACTGATTTAAAAATTGGGGGCTGATATTTAATTCAGTCCGCAAATGCCACTCCGTACTTGAAGTGGGGGTTAATGATGTGGGGTGGGGGGAAGGAGATAGAAATGAGACGAGGCCTATAAAAGTCCATAAGTTACCAACTATAGAATCACATTAGGAACGTTTAAAAGCTTTCTTTTATTCTTTGAAGAAAACACAGCTGCAAAACACAAGTAGTTTATGGAGTGCATAGACCAGTCAATCTTGGACTGATTTCATGATTGCTTGCTGTTTAATCACTAACACTTGGAGATCCACACAAGCTTCCAAGACATCCAGGCTTCAGTAGGGAGACTGTTTACTGCCTCTTTGTTCAAAAGGCGTGTTGGCTACGGAGCTGTTCTCGCCTGATACAGCCAATTTAAACTGAACTGACAAGTTTAAGACTGCACATTGAGACAGATAAATGTCACTATTGTTTGGTACCAGATTGAGCTGAGTGTTCAGTGACCATAGCTACGGCTCTTTAAATCACTCCAAACAAGCTGGAACTGCAGGTAGTGAACTGCGGGGGACGGTGACTCTCAGATCCTCTCTGGCTTCCCACAGCCACCTGATATTATGAAGCAAACCAAAACTGATGAAGCAGCATCGCTTTGCTCTTTTATAATGCATTCAGATGAGATAATTCTAAATGATTAAAATAGCTGCCTGCCTGGATATGGCTAGGGGTAAAACTCGATCTTTAACGAATAGAAATGCTTTACAACATCCTAAGGTCCAACCATTTTGAGCAATGAGCTACAAATCTTGGCTCCTGTCCTTCTCCTCCTTTTTCTCGTATTGGTTAGAGCAGTCACCTCACAAGCGAGAGTACCCAGGTTCGATTCCCGGGCGTAGTGACACCTTAGGCAAGTTTCCTTACTCTACACACCTTGTTTTACCTAGCAATAAGTAGGAACCCAGTTGTTAGTCGCTTGGCGGATCGCTTTCTAATAATCCCTTCAAAAAATATAATAATTCGGTCACTCAATTCACGACTGTTTGTGGGACACTGCTGTGCGCAATTGTCTGCCATGTTTCGCCCACAAAATATACAGTCAATTCACTTTACAATATATTCTGTGAAGCACTTTGAGATGTCTCAACGACGTGATAAATTGCTATATCAAATGCAAGGATTATTATTATTATCATTTGTCTTCCTTCTCTTTGTCTGGGGTGCAGTTCCATGGGTGCTGGTCACCCTCCTGTATCTTTCTGCTCCTCTGTCAGCCCAGACAATGAGCTATCACTGGCTTTTATTAATCTATGTCATACTTATTTCCTCGTAATTCTCACATCACACCTCAAAACATTTACCCCCATTTCTTTTGGTCTTTAATTGAGGTATTGAGGTTTTTCACCCACAAAATACACAGTCAATTCACTTTACAGTACATTCTGCGAGATGCTTTGAGATATCTCAATGATGTGATGAGGTGTTATATCAAATGCAAGGATTATTATTATTATTTCTTCTGTTCATGTGTCCACTTTAGTTTGAGTGACAGGGACATCTGACTGAAGGGCATCTGAACTGAGCCAAATTGTTATAAAGGATCCTCTCTGTCTGTCTGTCTGTCTGTCTGTCTGTCTGTCTGTCTGTCTGTCTGTCTGTCTGTCTGTCTGTCTGTCTGTCTGTCTGTCTGCCTGCCTGCCTGCCTGCCTGCCTGCCTGCCTGCCTGCCTGCCTGCCTGCCTGCCTGCCTGTCTGTCCAACTCACTGACTGACTGTCAGTCAGTCAATCCAGGTCACCTTAACTTTCCAACTCAAGTTCAATCCTTGTCAAACACAGCACAGGGGAACACTTGGCTCATCAAGATTGTCCCATTCTGATAACAATCTTTGGAAATCCATGTTGTTGAAATGTCTCAAAGCGCTTTACAGGATTTTCTTGTTAATTGTAGTTAACTGTGTATTTATAGGCAAAAGTGACAATGAGTTTGCATACAGCAATGTACCACAAACAGCCATTAATGACCGATTTGTTTCTTGATCATTACACAAGGAGAAACTTCCTTCTCCTTTTGAATAACGTCATGGATCCCACTTGACAGGACCATGGTTTAATGTCTTATCTGAAGGATGGCACTTCTGACACTGCAGTGTCAGACTGAGCTGAATATGGGGCTTAAGCCCATAACTTTTCTGCCTTTTATTAGATCTTGGCAGATCTTTATTCCCATTTCCTCATCGTACTACTTTTACTGCTCAAGTGAATATTTTAAACCATTTATTATTAGAAAATAACAGGAAACTACTTATGAAATTCCAGACTTGGGCGTGATAGAAACAGTGGAACTCAAAAGCAATTGACACAACTTTAAAGTGGCACTGTTTTCTGTTTGAAAGTGTTTGGCAAACCTTATTTTTTGGTGGGGTGGGGGGAATAAAGAGCCTGAAGAGTGTTGTATGGTTTTGTAACGATAAGATAGTAACATTTGGGGGTAACAATAATAATAACCCATGCATTTGATATAGCGCCTTTTCACTATGAGACGTCTCAAAGCACGTCACAGAATATATTGTAAAGTGAATTGATTGTATATTTTGTGGGGGAAACGCGGCAGCCAATTGTGCACAGCAGTGTCCCACAAACAGTCATGGATTGAGTGACCAAATTATTATTATTACTATTTTTTTGAAGCGATTATTACCCCCGGAAAAGCGATCTGCCAATCACCTAACAACTGTGTTCCTTCTCGGTAAACAGAGGCATGTGGAGTCTAGAAACATGCATATGGTTTTGCCCTGCCCTGGAATTGAACCCAGGTCCTCTTGTTTGCGAGGCCAATGCTCTTACCGCTGAGTTACAGGACTCCATGCAGTAGCCAGGTAGGTTTCTCTGAGATTGCATGCATTGTTTTCACTTGATAGAGCAGCACTTTGATTTCAATATGTTTTCCCAACTGAACTGCTCGCTGTAGGTGTGACTTGATGAGATTTTTTAATAAGGAATTTGAGTTGTACAGATGGGGATTCCTTCCCATAATATCATGTTGGCTTGCAGGAACTCCGCTCTGACATAACCTCCATCAAAACAAGGTTCGCATTGGGTTATAGACATTCTAACAAGATCCCCCTATTAAGGAATCCCATGAAGACATATGGCAAATTAGACAACAAAAAAAAATCGGATTTATATATTCAGCGTCTTTCATGTCAAGAAAATGTCTCACAGGACTTCACACAACTGAATGGGAGTAAATGTGGGGAGGAGGCAGGAGCTGTAGATATTTATCCTTTTCAGATATTTGTCTAATTCCCTCTCAAAAGATGATACAGAATTTCCCTCCATCACTGCTCCAGGTAGGGCATTCCATATCCTAACAACACTCCGTATAAAGAAAAACATTCTCCTAACCTCTCTTTTTGTACTTTTGGTAAAGTCCTTTCGCCCACAAATATACAGTCAATTCACTTCACAGTGTATCTGTGAAGCGCTTTGAAACATTTTGAAGACGTGATAAGGCACTATACCAAATGCAAGGATTATTATTATTATTAAGACCTTAAATCTATATACGCTACTGACTCACCAACCAGTTGAAATAAATTGTTTACTTTATTGATCAAAAAAAACTTTTTTAATTAGCCTCTATCAGGTCTTCTCTCAACCTGTCCTGTTCTAGGGAATAAAGCCCAAGTTCTTCAGTCTTTTCTCAATAAGTAAAACCTTTCATCCATGATATCACCCTAGTAAATCTCCTCTGCATCCTCTTTATTACTGGCCAATATTTCCTTTCATTGACCACCTTACTCTTTGGGTGAAAAGATTAGCTACCTTGGGTGCTTACACAAATACAGTCACAAACCTTGGAAGCAAGGCATTCAGCAAAGCTTGTTGATAATAATAATCCTTGCATTTGACATAGCAATTTAGCATGTTGTCGATATGTCTCAAAGTGCTTCACAGATTAGGAGATTGCCCAATTTGCAGACAGTGGAGATTCCCTGGTGTTTATTTCACTTCATTCCCACTGGACATCGAATCGAAGCCCCGGCTCTTACCTTGAATGGGGATGCTGCTGGGCTGTGCAGAGCAGGTTGTGATAGGTGGGTAAGGTTTGAGATGGGCTCCTGATCCCTGCTGTATTTGGGGTGGCTGGGGTGTCCTTCTGTGCATCAAAGGAGGAGGTGCTGTGATCCTCCTGGGACTGATGTGATGAGGAGATGGAGCCGAGCCAACAAACCTGCTGGGACACACCTGCAGTCACCGCAATGTCACGTAGAACCATAAAAATTTACAGCACAGAATAAGGCCATTCGGACCATCATGTCTCTTAAGAGCAATCCTTTCAGTCCCATTTATCAATCCTTTCCCCATATCCTTGCAATTGACTCCTTTTTAGGTATATATCCAGTTCCCTTTTGAAAATTAATACGGATTCTGCCTCAACCACTGCTCCTGGCAGGGCATTTCATATCCTTACTATTCTGTGTGTGAAAAAAATTCTCCTAACTTCCTCATTGGCTTATTTATAACTATCTTAAATGCTCTGATTTACTGAACAGTGAAAATAATCTCACCCCATTGACGCTATCAAAACCTTCCATCATTTTAAAAACCTCTATCATGTCACCCCTCAACCTTCTTTGTTCCAACCAAGGAACATACGTCCTTTGCACCCGGCAATGCATCGTTGTGCTTTAATGTGTGTTTTTACGGCTTTATTTACACTTTGACCTTTACTTGCAGGTGCATTCTACACGTTTTTCCTAATAAACATAAAATGGGTAGCATTTCATTACTGAACAGAAGCCTCTGCATCTTAAGAAACCATTGGGTTGAAATTCAACCTGGGTCTAGATTTACTCCATCAATATAGTATAATGCCACAGAATTTGGCAAATTATTAAATTCACTCTTAACTCCAAAGCCTGTTTTCTATCAGCTCTTGAAAGAAACCTACAGAAAATTGGCTTTCAAATCAGGGCTGCATTTTAACAATTTGCCAAATCCTGGATGCTCTGAAATGCTATTTTAATACAGTAGATGGAATTTCTACCCTGATGCCTGCAAACAGCAAATTGTCTGCATGAAAAGACAACCAATTTGTTGCCAAGAATAAAAAATCTGGTGAACATCAAAGGGGAGACATGGGGTGTCTTTAACAAACTAACAACTACAGCTGAGACAATAAATCACTGACAAAGATGGTTTCTTCAGTCGTATTAAACCTCCGAAGGAATCTAAACCAGAACGCACGGCCTTAAGGATTTCACATTTGATTAAACATCCATAAAACGATTGCAAAAACCATTTTGTACTGCCAAATAATAGGTTCTTTTAGAGGTATTTAGAGGCATTTAAAATAATTCATGAATTACTTTTTGAGTTCCTGGCTTACTCACATTGGTGACTATAGTCACTATTAATAGTCTCACTTTCCCTATAAAATAGAAATCTTGGAGAACATTCAATCTACTTTTGAGTTTCTCCATTTAGCAGAATTTTCCTGGGGCATAAAATGCCGACCTACTGCTGCTAAAAGAACAGTCTGTAGTAGTTTGACACCACATGGTTGTGGTTTGAAGGATCTGCCAGATTGTTTTCCTCTGTTCCTTGACTATCGCAGGGGGGGAGGGGCGAAAGATGTATTTCTCATGTCTGTGAATCGTGCAGATTCAAGCAGCAGAAAATTTGGTCAAACAATAAGTTGTTTGAATTGCCCTTTAACCATTTTTTTTGTGCAGTCTGTAGCGCTGCCAACTATGTGACATGAACAGATTTCCAGCAAAATTAGAAGCAGATACATTGATTTCTGTATCAGATGTGCCCCCCACTCCCTCTCTCTCTTACACAAAGCTCTGTTATCCAACAGTTGTAATGTGACAGCATGAGACCTGAGCACAGTGGAGTAACAATTCCTGAGGTAGAGCCAGAAAGCACCTGAAAGTATCCTTAAAAGTGCAAACTGGATCCAGCTACAGCTAGTAATTAGTTGCAAACCTTTCCAGGTTTCATTTTTTAAAATAATTTAGTCCTCATGGTGCTCCCATTTCTTGCTGCTTTCCGGGCTTCATGTTGCCTCTCCAGTTGGAAAGAGAGTGTGGACTGAGCCAATTGCTGTTTGGCCTCCTTCATGGTGTGTTTGTGTGTGTTTTGGGCAGGGTAGACTGGTTGAAATTGTATTGCTGGGGCTGAATGGAGAGTTTGAACACTGGCTCTGACCTGACACTGGACAATGAACCTGAAATGGATAAAATGTAAAGTAAAGCAACCATGGATTCTGGAATATGTGAAATAGAAACTGAGAGAGCTGGAAACGCACAGCAGGTCAGTCAGCTTTTGAAAGAGTAGGGCAGCTCGCAAGGTTACAAAGAGAAGTTCGGATGAACTCCTTTTGGTCTCATCTTTCCAGAAAACTTTGTGGATGTTTGGGGAACATTGTTAAATGCCAAATTGGCTGTCATGTTCACCTACAAAATACACAGTCACTGCATTTTACAGTAAATCCTGCTAACCGCTTTGAGACATTCTCCCATTTTATAAACTTCTATCTTCTCTCAACTTGCTCTGTTTTAAGGAAAAGGGGTCTAGATCCTCAATCTTTCCTCAATAAGAAACAACCTCTCATCCTTGATGGATCTCCTAGAAAAAGCATATCAAATGCAAGATTTTTTTCTTATTCTTATACCCAATATAACCTTCTGTCATGACAGCATTAGTTTCTCATAGGGGGCAAGTGACTGGCCTCTACCACACATACTAGTAACCTATTCAAGTTGTTGTGAATGTTTTGGACATGATCGCTCATAGAAAGTGGAATAGTGAGCTGGGGGAAGGCCCTATAGACGCTAAAAGAGGACATGATAAAAATGCACAAGGAAAAAGTCAGAAAAGGGAATAATATAATCCTTACATTTAGTATTATGCCTTTCACGGGATTTACTAGAAAGTGAAGCGACTGTGTATTTTGTGGCAAATATGTAAGATAAAGGCAGCCTATGGGCTATTAAAAGTTGGAAGAAAAGAGGAAAGTATTCAATTTGGATTTATATATTTATATAGCGCTCTTCACACGGGGTAGCGTCTTGGAGAGCTTAACAATTGCGTAGTTTGATGCCGAGCGAGGGAGAAAGGGGAAGAGCCTGTAGGTACAGTCAAAAAGGAAAGTCTTCCGGTGTGATCTGAAGATGGCAAAGAATGGGTAGGGTGGACGGATTGAGGCAGGGAGTTCCAGAAGTTCAGTTTCCACAGTTCTGACATTCTCACTTTGAGAATTCACAATTTACCCCTTTTCTCATACAAAACAGAGAAATGTGTATATAATAATCCTTGTATTTCATATAGAGCCTTTCATGTAGTATATAAAGGTGTGAGGCATGCAATTGTACATCACTTTGCACCCAGGTAGTTACCCAAGTTTAAAGTACAGCCACATATAGTAGAACCAACCTCTTCCTATCAGAACACCCAGATTTGATGGAATTGAATGGCTTGTTTCTTTGCTTAACATTGAATGGGGGGAGTTTGCGATTCATGATATGCTAATTATCACATTTGGCAAACTCTTGCCCCCCCAACCCAATTCCCCACCTACGCTCCCAAACAGGTTAGAAGGCAGTTCTACAATTGCGTAGTTCAATTCAGACAATCAACTACAAAATGATTGCTCCAATAGTTGTTATGACATTATTAGTTTCCAGTAATCTTTACCCCGGTGACTGATCTGAATACCTTGTGTAGATAGGATTGAGGAGAAACAATCATGAGAAGTAAGCTTGATGTTGAATCACTTTGGCGATTTGCCTCAGACTGTGACACAGAACCAGACAACACGGGTTTAAAGCTATGAAGCCTCCAGCGAGACCAGAGATTATAGCTAATGTTTCTTTCCCACAGGGTTGCGGAATCCCAGATTCCCAGAAAAAGCTATTGCTGCTTTGTTGATTTAACTCCTTGAAGAGAAACCCGGAATGAATGTGCAATTGGAATATGCAGTTGGTTACAATGTTGAGAGGATATTGGGTAAATTCAGACTGAGATGCAATCCTGAATGTAACTGCAATGGTGTGAAGTTTCACTGGGGAGTTTCATTAGAAATTTCCCCCAAATAAAATTGGTCACTCACTTCATGGCTGTTTGTGGAACATTGGCGTGTGCACCTACACTTTATAGTAGAATCCTATGAAGTGCTTTGAGACGTCTCAATCACATGTCATCTGAGACTATGAGCTCAAAGTCCTGACGTGGAGCTTGAACCCACAAACTTCTGACTCAGAGAGGAGAGAGCTATCAATTGACTTTATGTTCTTAAGTAACATGATGCAGTTATCACCTCTTATTCTATAATAATAATAATAATCCTTGCATTTGATATAGCGCTTTTCACGTCGGGGGGACGTCCCAAAGTGCTTCACAGAACACACTGTAAAGTGAATTGACTGTATATTTGTGGGCGAATGCGGCAGCCAATTGCGCACAGCAATGTCCCACAAACAGTCGTAGACTGAAAACAACCAATTTATTATTGTTTTTTGTTTTGGAGGTATTATTATTAGGCGTGTGGAGTAAGGAAACTTGCCCAAGGTTTCGTCCTCTGCCTGGAATTGAACTCAGGTCTCTCACTTGCAAAGCGAGTGCTCTAACCACTGAGCTACAGGACTCCGGGAGGATTCTACATGTGAAAAAAAATGAATGTAACTATGTTGGTGTGAAGTGTCTTTAAGGAAGGGAGGAGCGGGAGGGCTTATCATTGGAAACATTTACAAATACCGAATGCATGAAACGGCAAGGTGTGAGAGAAGCCTGGAGAGGAAAACACCTCATTGCCCTCTTTTGCAAGTGGCAATAAGACTGTGAGAATATTGTGAATTTAATGCATTCTGATATTCATAAACAGGGAAGTTACGAGGAGCTCATCGAACCTGGTGAATATTATAAATTATAAATTAGACTCCACTGTGGGATGGAAATTTCACCTGATGCTAGATTTACTGTGTTTATGGAGCTTTTCAGAATTTGGCAAATTCTTAAATACAACCTTAACTATAAAACCAATTTTCTTTGCAATTTTTTTAAAGAACCACCAAGAACTGACTTCAGAATTGAGACTGAATTCGATAATTTGTCAAAATTGGAGACTCTAAAAGGCCTGGCAAATAAAGTGAATCTGGACCCAGATGGAATTTCTCCCCATACGTTTGGTGATTACACTTTGGGGAAATGACAGTTAGTTTCCTTGTG